GTTTACTAAAATAACTGTTGCATTTGTGAATCATGCAAACATTTGATTCTCTGTTGCAGTAGGATTTATAACACTCAGGAAAAACCTGAAAAACTAGAGAAAATTATTGAAAATTTATAAAATCTTCAAAAACCTAAAAAAGTCAGAAAATTTTCTCTGAAAATTTTTAACACCAGTGAAAACTCAGAGAATATTTTCAAAGTAACTCGAAACTGAAATTAGTTTTATATTCAGCTTAAAGTTATTTTCAATATCCATATTTTAAATCTTTATTATTATTAGAAGTTCACATATTTTGGTATAATAAATTATTTCAAATTATGTATAATAAGACTTGTAAAATGTAATATGTAAAATGTAATGACCTGTAACTACAACTTTGATGCCAATGACTTGCCTTGAAGTTCAAGTTATTACAAGTATTGTATTTAAACTCTAAAATCTTTATAAAAGGAAGTTAAGTAAATATCTGCCGCAATTTAAATCTAAGTTTGTTTACACCCATTTAGAATATTGCATTTGCATGACATTAAAGAAAAAAGTTTAAGAGTAAAAAGGCATAAATGCATTTTTTTATAAATTCTTTTTATTAATTTTACAGCCTAGTATTTATCTTTTTTTAACTTTTAACATTTTACTGCAGTGTTATTATGCTTCGATGCAATTTTTGATTAAATTTGATCTTTTGTAAATGTAATGGATCATAAAAAACATGTATTTAGTTTAAATATCATGTACACATGTATTTGAAATTTAAGTTTTCAATACGTTCAAATCAGAAGTTAGGACAAGACTTGACTTGAGTATTAGATTGAAATGGCTTTGCTTAATTGGGACTTGACTTGTTTTGTTTGAAAAATTTAAAAAAGACTTGTAAGACAATGACATGGTCACAGCTCTGGTTGCCATAGTAATACAATTTTCAAAATTATCAGGAAAAATCATATACTTTTTACTACCTAAACTGTGGGAATAAACACTTGAAAACAGTAAAAAGTTAGCTAATACTTATTGAAAATCAGTTTTCAAAACTGCTACTAACTCTCTGCCAACATTACTCAATTTTGATGGTACTAATGGTAAGACATTTCATGGGTACTTGAACTTATGCTGAAAAGAGCTCCTTAAGATTGCACAAAATTAATTTATCTCATTCTGTTATGATTATTTACTTGATACTAATTTATGCATTGTAGGCGAAGCTTTTCACCTGGTACTCTGAATTTGTTAAGCATTATTATATATTTTTAACTTTAGGATAACTTAATATCTGCTCTTGTACATGAAATAAATAATTGAACCCATGAGAGTAATGCAACTCCATAAATTGTTAAAAGTGTAACCCATAATGACAAAAAAAAAATATTTTATGACTATTTTAAAATCAAAAAATTATCATCAAAATTTTTACATTCTTTTGATCTTTGGATTCAGCAACTTCAATAGCAAATGGTCAAGGGAAAAATATTGTATTTTTCCCTGAATATCAAAGTGTTATATTTTTAACCTTTTGAATTTGGGAGCTCATATGTTACAGTTTTTTCATATTTTATAGGTACTACTTGCTTAAGTTTAAAAAAAATTTGAGGAGCGACTGAAATTTTTTAAAACATTTTTTGTCCTACTTTTAAATGGAGTTACCCATATTTACAGATTTATCTATGCATGAAGCGTAACTGATGACATACTGAAATAGCCATATGTGAGGGGTTGGGAGCATAAACCCACAGAAAGTTTTGGTTTAGACAAGTACAATTTAAATATGGTAAAAAAAAGTTTAGTTTTTTCACTTTTCCTTATTCTCTGCATTTGATAAAAATCTAAATAATTTTTCTTTAAAAAACTATTTTGTAATAAACTTAATATTTAACTTTCATGGCTGATGATACGGGTTTCAAAGTGGAAGGGTACAATTGTTAATTTCTAAAAAAGTCCTCTATATCGATGTGTCCCCCTGGCCTTTGGGTGTCATTGACTCTGAATTTCTTGTGTGTTTATTAAACCTTTTTTTTTTGAGAAAAGTAAATACTAAATTATTTTGGAAAATTAAAGTAATGTTTTATATTGACTAATTTAAAATATTGTTAATAAAAAGTAAGATTTTAAAACATTGATAAAACTTATTTTATTAATTTATAACTTAAATAACATAATTTTACATAATTTTATATAAAATCATAACAAAATAATAACAATTTATGTTGTTATTATTTTGTTTTTATTTAAACAAAATTATTCATCAGCCTGTTTGTTTGCAAGTTTATCTGAGACAAATATATAGATATAGACGGCATTTTAATTTTATTGTTAATTCAATTTGATGCATGTTTATGTTTGGAAATTATTAGTTGTCACATTTATCACATAAAATTTTTTTTAAGCTGGCAGCGAATCTTCATTACAAGAATCAGATGAAGCTACTGCATTAAAAGAAAAGATTTTAATTCTAGAAGAAGAAAGAAATTTGCTAAAATACAAGATTGAGTTGTTACTTGATATGGTAAGATTTTCTTTTTATTTACATAGCATAGTAATCGTAATCAATTTGCCATTATCATCATCATCATCATCATCATCATCATCATCATCATCATTATCATCATTATCATCATCATTGTCATCATTAGTTACACAAATAAAAACAGCATACTTTAACTATTAAATGTATTTTTTCCATTGATATTCATAATGACTATGTCATAGGTGTTAGTGATTGGATTGAATAGTGTAATAGGTTGAATGAATTTTCCTTTAAACATCGCATCAAAGTGTCACAAATTTAAAAAAATTTAACGACTTGTAAAAAATATTAGTTAAAGTCTCTTGGTTATTATATACAAAAATCTGTAGAAAAAATTGTAATTTAATATGTATTTTGAATAATGCACTTGTAAGTTTATTAAAAATTATTTAAATCATTTTAAAAGTCAGTTTGAAAGCATATTTAGAATCTAATTTTTCCTAATTTTTATAAATCAACATTTTCTTTTTATATTTACTAGTATTATTTTAAATTGAATTTGAAAATGAATTCTTGACAGAATGCTATTCTTCTTTAAATATAAAAAAATAACTGACAACATTTTTTATTTTATTTTGTTATTTTGAAGTTATGTTAAATTTGAAGTTAAGTTATTACTACATAATTTTGACAACTGATGTAGTAACTGATGTAGAAAACGAGGTTTTTGAGTCTTTAGGGTAAATATATATCAATCAATTTAACTGAAAGGTAACTGATATATAAAAATGGTTTACAAATCTATTTGGGTGCACATGTTATTTTTAAAAGTAGTTCAAAAAATAAAAAAAATAACATTAAAATTATTAAATAACTTTAAAATGTTTGTACATTTAACATTTTAAAATTATTTTACATATTTTAACCTAAACGAGATTAGTTATGTTGCATGCTAAATATTAGCTATTTTTATGTAACCAAGATGTAACATTTTGAAAAAGCTATGTAATATTATAACATTACGTTATGTGCAAAATGTCTGTTATTTTTACGTAACTGAGATGTAACATAACGGTATGTAATATTTTGACCTAATGAGACATAATATTGTAACTTATGGTACCTTTTTTAACTTTTTGGTTTATTTTCCTAATTAAATATCATTATAAGATATATATATATATATATATATATATATATATATATATATATATATATATATATATATATATATATATATCAAGCCTTCCCGGGAAGCGTGTGCAGTCGCACAACTTGTACGTCCACGCTTAAAGTAATTTGTTTAGACAACTTGACCATGTTTTTACATAGTAAGGGTTTTAAGAATTCGCGGCAAAACAAAGCTTTAAGAAACTAGAAAATAAAACAGCAATACTCAAAGAAAAGAACTATACGAAGTAAAAAAAATTTATTAACAAAAAAAAATTTTTTTGTCACAAAAATAGTATGCCTAAATAATTTACTCTTTTTGTTTTCTTATTTTTAGGGTGTTTGTTATTTTCCACTACTTATATTCATACAAGTCGAGCAAAAAAGTAGATAAGAATATTACGAAAAATAAAATATTTTTGGTACAATTTTTTTGCGACATTTTTCAGTCAGTATATAAAAGAAATACTTTATAAATTACGCTAGAAACACAGACAATTTTTAAGTTTGTTTTTCAAATGTCTTTGCTAAACTTTACTGTTTTTATCAATGCACAGGTGAGAAAACAAATTGCTATTTATTTGTAAAAAAATGTATTTTTTTTAACAAGTTTTTTATGTAAAAAAACAAAACCATGCTGCGAAATTTTGTGGGCTAGTGCATTTTTAATTTACTGAACTTTCTTAACGAAATTTTTAGGAATCTATTTAAAACTTTTTTGTAAGTTTTTAAATACATTTTTTTAAACAGAGCAATCGCTATGTTCAAAATCGCTAGTAATTTGTATTAACATTGAAAATTTTTTCAACAACGATTCTTAAAAGAACACAGAAGTTGTATAAAAATTTTATATAAAATTTTTTTTTTTTTAATTATCAAATTTTCTAGTGTATCTAATAAAACTTGATATTTTGTTATAATTTTGTTTTACTTTTTCTCAGTAGTTTAGTTTAGCTTTTTGTCACAAATTATTGAAAGGCTTTCTAAGTTAAATAATGCAAATGTGCCGTGGTCAGTTTGTCTAAAAAATATTTTAAACCTGGACAAACAAGGCGTGTGACTGCACACACTTCCCGGGAAGGCTTGATATATATATATATATATATATATATATATATATATATATATATATATATATATATATATATATATATATATATATATATATATATATATATATATATATATATATTTATATATATATATATATATATATATATATATATATATATAAATGATGTTATGCTTTGTGTAAGTCAATAGGGGTTAGAAAAATAGCATACAGAAAGTGGACAGATATTGCACTGCATAACGTGCAAGATATGCTATAAATTGGTGGTTTTGTGGTTTATCATCCTTCTGGCTAATTGCCATATAGAAGCCGCATACAAAGGCCCACAAAGACAAATTCAGCTCACTAAAGAGTATCATAACCCGCTTTAACTGAAGAAGAGTGAGTTTAAGAATAACGAAGAATACTAGAGTGATAGGCTGAAGAAGTCAAGTTAGAAAGATAGCATATAGATAGCAGACAGATATTGCACTGGATGTTAGAACATGCAATTTTACATTAATCAATGGTGTTGTGGTTTATCCTCCTCTGGCTAATTGCCATATTGAGGCCACATACCAAGGCCCACAAAGATGAGTTCAGCTCACAAAAGAACATTTGATGGACCAAGAGTAAGTGAGTTTAAGAAAAACAGAAATACTTGAGTGACAGACTGAAGAAGTCGAGTTAGAAAGATAGCATGTAGATAGCAGGCAGATATTGCCCTGGATGTTAAATGTGCAATTAGACATTAATCGGTTACATCTATTTAATGTATTTAATTTTACATTAATCAGTTATAAATAATTAATGTATTATTATGTTCTTCATATATTAATGAAATTAATAAATTGTATATGAATATATGAAGTAACTAATTGAGAAAAGTCTATTTCACAATAAAAATAAACCATGATAATTAGCAATTTAAGATTTTTTTTTTTAAAATTACAAATGTCCTGCAAATGCATTGCTAAATACTGTAACTCATTAATATTATTGAGTTATGATATTTAAAAAAATTCCTTTAATTAACAATATTATTTATTAACAATATTGTAAACACATTAATATGTTTGTCAAGACTATTGTAATTTATAAAGTTTAAAAAAAAACTTTTTAAAGGTAAATAAAACTTTTAAATCAATTAAAATAACATAAAAAGTAAATAAGTAAAATAAAACATAAAAGTTACTTAAGCAATCAAATTATTTTTTTTATTACCTTTAAAAATGTAACCAATTAAAAGGTAATATTAAAGAATTGAAAGGTGTTAAATATCAAAGTTAAATATTTAAGAATTGAAATGTAATTAAAATATGTCACAAATATTTTTTTATGTTACATGACATCTTAATTATTTTTTTTTTAACTATTTTAAGTGTAACCAATTGAGGCGTAACATATTGTTAAAAAAATCTATATTTAAAACATATTTTAATCGTCTCAAATCTAGATTTAACTATTTTAAGTGTAACCAATTGAGACGTAACATAACGTTAAAAAAATATTTAAAACATATTTTAGTTATGTCTCAAATCTAGATTTAGTTAGATTTAGATTTAATTTAAAAAAATTATTCAAATATTATGTTGTATAAGTTATAAATACGCCAATTGCTGACACTTCCAAAGATTAAAAAAATAGGGTAAAGTTACAAATTGAAACTTTTTTTTTTTCGTGACTAAGTAACCAATTGAGGCAAAGCTATTATACATTATAAATAAAATAAAAGATGATAATTAGCAATATGGCAATTATAAACAAACAATTACTGTGTTATCAGGTTTATTTACTTTTTATTTAATAAAAAATTAGAAAATGTAACCTTGTTACCAATTATTACCAATTTTAACTGATTGAGATATTATGTAACTTTAAAATGTTATAGGGGCTGGTGAGTCTGATGACAGTCTTGGCTATGAATGATAAAAAGCTAGCGCATAAGCAAGAGCTAAAACTAGATTATTAACATCTGAAAATGGAATTACAAAATTACAAAATTTTGGGTATACTGTTTCAATGCTGAAAAACATTTGAACAAACTTTTTATAAAATCTAATACTGAAATTTCGGCTAGACAAATCTAAATTTTATTAGAAAATGAAATTTTATTAGAAAATCTAAAAATACAATTTTACATTTGTTGTTTATTTAGACATCATATTAGAACACCCATTGGATTGTATTAGTGTGTTTATTTCATAATTTGCACAGCAAGTTGTTACCAATATCTTTCTAATAAAGCTTTGAACATGTTTATCTTCTTTTACCTTCAATTACTTTAATTGTTTTGTTTGACCTTTCTCATCTAGGGTAGAGCAGGGCTAGTTAAGCAAATGGGCAAGTTGAGCAATTAAAACATCTCAATAACTACGTATTACATGACAAAACATCTAATGGATGAAATTTTGGAATTAGAATGTTAACACAATGCGCAACAATTGCTGGAAGCAGTTGAGTAAGATACACAGACATTTTTTTATTTTGGATCAAAAAAGTAACAAAAAATTTTTAAAAATATTTTTCTCTGGTATGCCTATTAACGTTTTTATTTGCCATCACTTAAGTGTTGACATTTTACCAATTTATTGGACTTTCAATTAAAATTAGTCATTTTTTCCTAAGTAAGACTTAGGAAAAAATGACTAATTTTAATTGAAAGTTCTCTTTAAAACCTAACTAATTTGTCACCTTGACTAGTTGGGGTAAGTTGAGCACCTCTGAAAAAAATAAATAAAATTGAATTATTGAACACAAAGAAACAACTTTGAATACAAAATAATTTTGCTGTAAATTATTTATAAATAATTTCAAA